CTGCTGTTCTGTATCCACAGGATGAGGAGCAGAGGGCGCCAGGAGCTCAGGAATGCAGGTGAACGGCTCCTGCCTGAATGGGGCCTTTCTGCCGCGGGAGAAGGAAGAAGGAATCCGCAGGGATCCGCAGGGATCCCCCGCATCGTGGCAAGAGCTGGCAGCAAGAGTCCACCCTTCGAAATGCCTCAAGCAAGGAAAGGGACGGGGGAAAGGTGGAAAGATGGGAAAAACTGAATAAAACCATCCCCCTTCTCCAGAATTCCCTTTTTTTTGAGGTCTCTGAGTCACTCTGTTTGTATTTATGGCTCCCGAATCCCCATCCTGGGAATGGGAAACAGCATGATCCCTTCCTCTATTCCAACACCCTTCCCGTATCCCACATCCCAGCAGCTTGGGCTGCTCCCACCTTGATTAACCAAATGACTCTTTACCCCTGTCCCACAGCCGAGAAAACACAGGGAAAAGCATCCTTGCTGCAGAAATCCCTCCTCCTGTAGCTGTGGGATGGAACGCCTGGAATTCCATGCTTTAGGACACAAATCCCACACCTGCATTTGGGCACAAAGAGCCCCACTGGACCAAGATGCCACAGTTGGGATTTCTCTCCATGGAGAGAATCAGACCTTCCAAGCTGATGGAGAGAGGTTGAAGCTGTCACCTCCCAGTGCTGGCATCCCTTTAGGTCAGGTGAATTGCTCTCTGGAGGCATTTCTCTTCTGCACTGACTTCCCACTGAGAAAGCTACACCAGTAGTACACCAGTAGTACCTCCCTCTATACCAGTACATCACTCTGTATCAGTAGTACATCATTCTACATCAGTACATCAGTAGTATATCAGTAGTACATCAGCAGTACATCAGTAGTATATCAATAGTACATCACTCTACATCAGTACATGAATAGTACATCAGTAGTACATCAGTAGTATATCAATAGTACATCACTCTACATCAGTAGTATATCAATAGTACATCACTCTACATCAGTACATCAATAGTACATCAGTAGTATATCAATAGTACATCACTCTACATCAGTACGTCAGTAGTATATCAATAGTACATCACTCTCTGTCAGTACATCAGTAGTACATCAGTAGCACACCACTCTGCATCAGTACGTCAGTAATACATCGCTCTCCATCAGTACATCAGTAGTACCTCAGTAGTACACCGCTCTACACCAGTAGTACATCAGGTTGCTTTCCAGAGCTCCGCAACGCGCCCCCTGAGCCCATGCCTTGCTCACCCCAATGGCTCACCCTCGCTTCCTGGTGTTTTCATCCTGTGGCCACTTAAACCCAGTCTAAGAGAGAAGAGGATCCTCTCTCAAGGAGCTCTTTGGACCTCAGGTCTCCAACACATGGGTTATGCCAATGGGATGAGGTTCAACAAGGCAAAGTGCCGAGTCCTGCACTTGGGACACAACAATTCCCTGCAGTGCTCCAGGCTTGGGGCAGAGCAGCTGGAAACTGCTCATGGAAAAAGACCTGGATGGATGGAGCTGAACGTGAGCTTGTGCCCAGGCAGCCAAGAAGCCCCCAGCACCCTGGCCTGGCTCAGCACCAGTGTGGCAGCAGGGCCAGGGCAGTGACTGTCCCCCTGCACTGGGCACTGGTGAGGCTGCACCTCGAATCCTGTGTCAGTTCTGGGTCCCTCACTGCAAGAGAGACATTGAGGTGCTGGAGCGGGGCAGAGAAGGGCAATGGAGCTGGTGCAGGGCCTGGAGCACAAGTGTGATGGGGAAGGGCTGAGGGACCTGAGGGGTTTAGTGTGGAGAAGAGAAGGCTCAGGGGGGACCTGATCGCTCTCTGCAACTGCCTGACAGGAGGTTGTAGTGAGGTGGAGGTCTCTGATCCCAAGTTACAAGCAATAGGTCAAGAGGAACCAGCCTCAAGCTGCCCCAGGGCAGGTTTAGCTGGAGCTGAGGAACAATTCCTTGCCCAGAGGGTGCTCAGGCATTGGAACAGGCTGCCCAGGGCAGGGCTGGAGTCACCATCCCTGCGAGTGTTCACACCCCAGGTAGACGAGGCCTCGGTGACGGGATGAGCTTGAAGGTCTTTCCCACCCTGGTTGAGTCCATGGTTCTACTTCTCATGCACGATGCCTGTGCTAGAGCTGTGGGCATCTGATTGCTCCATGTAGGATTGTTCCTTGGCCATAAGCAGGGAAGGGGCAGCCTGGTCTCTAATGGTCTAATGGTTCAAAGGGGTCTCCTTTAATGGTCTCCATTGGAATTTTACGCCGTGTGACATAACACCAGGCTCTTGGTTGTGTTGTCAGTGTTAAGGGGATGAAGCATCATCTGAGGCCTTCCTTCCACGGAAACCTCACGCCAGCAGTTTTGCACCAGTTTATTAGCAATGTCCCAAGAAAATACAAAACCCTATTTACAAGGAGCTCACCGGACACAAGGAGCAGGGGCCACGGAGCCGAGAGGGTGCAGAGCGCAGGTAAAGGACATCCACAGGAGGAAGAGAAGCAGCCTTGCACCTCCCCTGCGTGGATGGGCGATGAACCCAGGAGGAACATGCCCATAAGCTACATCCCACCCCTAATCCTGTGTTACTCATCCTCATGAGGACTTTCACCTCCCTGAGCATGTTACTCACTGCTCAGCCCAAGGGCTTTTGGAGGATGTGGCTTGGATGGAGGCAAGAGAAGAGGGCGCAGGACACATGCATGGAGGGGCAGGAGCCATCCCCATTGGAGTGGCCTGAGATGGAGCAGGTTCCATGCAAGCTTTTCCCACACCGGAGCACAAAGCCAGGACGAAGCAGCAGCAAAGTCCCTCCACACCAGAAGGAAAGAGCCAGAGAACCAGAGATCAGCTCCGTGTTCTCCTCCCCAGGGCCAGGCTGAGGGGTCCCAGTACAGAGATGGGGCTGGGTTGTCCTCCAGAGGAGGAGGTTTGGGACTATGTCATAGGCAGAACTCATCACATTGCTCCATTCTCCCTCCTCAAAAGCTGGAAAGCAGAAATACCCAAAGGCCTTTAGCTGTGAGCACAAGGCGGCCACAATCTGCTATTCCAGAGGTGCCTGCGTGGGTCTGAGCCAGAAAATTCCCACTTTAAACTCCTATTCCATCAACTTTTAGGTGCTTCCCATGCTGAGCCCTCTCCCAGTTCTGCCTGCTCAGCAATTCAACCTGTGTCTTTCTCTGCAGAAATCAGTGTGTCATGAAATCAATGCAATGCAATGCACAATCAGTGCAAAGCAATGCAAAATCAGGGCAAAGCAATGCAAAACCAGGGCAAAGCAATGCAAAACCAGGGCAAAGCAATGCAAAATCAATGCAATGCAAAATCAGTGCAGTGCAATGCAAAATCAGGGCAATGCAATGCAAAATCAGGGCAATGCAATGCAAAATCGGGACAATGCAATGCAAAATCAGTGCAATGCAATGTAAAATCAATGCAACGCGTTATCAATGCAATGCAAAGCAAAATCAGTGCAATGCAATGCAAAAGAGCCTCCTTTATCCCTAAAATCACTTAGGATTTGGGTTCCTTTTTGGTGCGGCGAGGAAGCTAAAGGAGAAGGTGTCACTTGTGCTCCTATATGAGCACAGCCACGGGGGTGAAGCAGCTTCCCTTCTGTGCAGTAACTTTCCTGTGCCCAAAGCACGTGTGGCCGCAGGACACAGCATGTGAAGGGGGGAAGCCGGGGCAGAGAACGTGCGGGATGGAGCGCTGGGGCTCAGCCCGTCCCCAGCGCGCTGGAGGCAGCTCCGTGACGCACTTGCCATTCCCGGGGCGATGGGAGATACGGCTCCTATCAGCAGGAGGGATCGCGTCTCAAATGAGAGCAAAAGGCTTCTTATCTCCAGGGTTAGACATTAGCCAGCTAAGCCCCCAAAGAGGGAATGTGAGCAAGGGCAAGGTGGAAAGTTACCACCAGTGCCCTCACTGACATCCCTGTCTGGGAGAGGAGAACTGGGAAAGGGCCAGAGCACGAGGAAGAGGCAACAGTGGGTTTGGTTTGGAGCAGCAGGACTTCAGCCGCAGCAGTAATGCAGCCTGGCCTCGGTCCGGGGGTTGTAACCACTTAAACCCATTGATTTCACACAACCAAGGAGGTTTGGGAAGGGTCAGATCCTTATGGTGGGTGTCAGGATGTGGCCTCTCATTCCCCACATCGGGATTTGGAGTCTCTTCCATCTCTGCCAATAATCCTCCCCTGTGGGATCATGCCTCTCCCAGGTTCTTCAGGGAGAACTGACATCAGTGTCCCCTTGGGCAAATCCACCTCAGTGGTCCTGTTATCCCACCCTGGAAAGGAAGGAAAGAACATTCGAAGCCCCACAGCAAAGGACACACAAGAATTCCTGCTTTGGGGACATTAGGGATGTCCCCAGAGAGGCTGCACATCCTGAACAGCAGGTTCCCTTGTGCCTGGAGGACTGTTTGCTGGGACATCCACGGGTGATCCCATGCTCTGCATTCCTAAATGCAGGCACTGCCAGGAATCTCTCTCTCCCAACGGATGCAGGAGAGAAAGGATTCCCCTCGCCTTTCCCCTTCATTCAGGCAGTTTTCCTAGCAAAATTCCCCACTCCTTCATGTTCTATTCCCTTGCAGAGCTGTTCTGCAGCCCAAGAGATGCAGGACTCAGACAGGCAACTCCAACAGCCTCTATGGAGAGGAAGACCATGGTCTCATGCCTCTGGTCTGGTTTTGAGCTCAGGAGGATGGAGGGAGCAGAAGACACAGAACACTTAAGCCCTGCTTCGCTTTCTGGCTCACAAAGACCTAACAGCATATGTACAAGCTGCACGGGGATCCCGGGGGCTTTGCTCAGCTGGGTGGATGGAGCCACAGGCCAGAAAGGGTGGATTTGGTTTGGTTTGGTTGGGTTTAACCCTCTGCTTGGAATCTCTTTCAAACACTTGCATCTTGGCAGCGGAGCTGCTGCTTTGCTGCGCTCACTCCTGGCTGGAGCCAAAGAACTGGAGGAAGAAGGAGAAGATGTAGATGATGTCCAGGTAGATGTTGAGGGCTCCAAAGATGTATTCCTCAGGGCTGAGCGAGTACCGGCGGTTCCCCATCAGCATCTGGGTATCGAACGCCAGGAACTGGGAGGAGAGGGGAGGAAAAGCAGTGCAGTTACACGGAGGTTTGGCACCGGGAGGCGAGAGGAGCTCTAATGACAGGACTTCTCCCAGTTGTTTCACTGCACCCAGGGGAAAAATGCAGCCACCTTTTATGGGCTGTGGCTGCGATTTAAAGGCTCAGAACAAGGCACTGAACAAGCTGCAACTTTCCCCTTCCTTCATTTCTTAACATTTGAACCCTGGGCCCAACTATGACTCCAGGCCTTTTCCTTCATGCTTCATCCATCCCAGATGTGTCCCGGGAACAGTTCTGGAATTGTTCTCCCTGTTCCTATGACTTATTATTCCCAACTTCCCCACTTCAGAAGCTGCTACATAATAAGGTGGCCTGGACCCAACATAGCACCATCAGGACAATAAGAGCAGGAACCCCACATCCCAAGGTCTGCAGCACTGCAGGAGCCAGACCCAGAGGGGATTTAACACCTTCCTGGGGTACAACCACCACCGAGTGCTTGGCACATTGAAACCAGCGCAGTGGGAACCCGCTGCCCCTTGGGAACACGGGATCAAAGACGGGATCAAAGCCTGCACCTTGTTGCATCACTTCAAGTCCAACGTCTTCTCCCATCTCACCATCACTCTGCAGCAAACGTCTTGACAGCTCTCCAGGGTTGGCACCTTCACCATGGCCTGGGGTCAAGTGGCACCTCTGCCCTCCCCAGCCATAAATCACAACTGATCTCCCCAGACACCATCAGCCTGGGCTGAAGGTTCATTGTCGGGTTCTGACTGAAGTTTATGGGGTAATTAGATGATGTTGAGCCCACTTGTACTTTATGGAGCAGTCCTGAGCCGTGAATCACAGCAGAAACAGCCGAGCTCCCTTGAAATGACTTTTATAGCTAATAAATGCAATTGCTCAACTGCTCTTATTCACCACGTGCCCAGTGGGCACCACCTTGAAGCCCAAGGCAGCCTCCTCCTGACCCCCCCACCCTGAGGTAACACCGAACATCTTCCCAGACAACTCCCATCGCTGGGTGCAAGCTCGGCGCTGCCGGGACTTGCTCCAGGAAGACACTCGGAGGAGGGACCAACAGGGAGCAATGAAGAGCAATGGAGCCTGTTCAACATTCCTTGAAGGACCTGCCTGGCTTCAGGGCTTTCCCTGCCTGCAAAGAACCTTCATCCTAAACCAGGGCCTCCTGCTGGCTCCCTGCTGGTCCAACTCATCCCCAATCCCTGGCTCTCTCCTGCCCCACCAGATCTGATGGGACCTTGCTTTCTCTGAGCCCTGCATCCCGGCTCCCACTGCTCTGCTGCAGCTTAATCCTGGCTTTTCCCACTCCAGAGAGGCCTTTTTGCCCTGGACCTACGGTGTTTTCTGCTGTTCACACCTTGTGTTGCGCAGAGAGCATGGGCTTGCCAATGACAGCACCCTCTGCGCCAGCGCTGTCACGTACACCAGCACCTCGGGATGGGGCTGAGGTCACTGCAATTACTCCTGAGCTCTGCAATCCCGACACTTCACTCTCCTCCTTCCCCTTCCAGGCTCGATCCTGCTGCTTTCCCTGCCAGCACATTCCCAGGAGCAGCACCCACTTACCATAGTGAAGATAATGGCACCGAGCAGAGCGTAGATCGCGTGGAGCCACGGGACCTAAAGGCAAGGAATCCATCAGTCAGTGCCTGGGGGAGAACTGCTCCAGGAGGACGTGCCACAGGAGAGGGCTGAGCTCTAACAGGGAGGATACAAGGGAGGGAAAGGGCTCTAATAGGTTGGGATGGACTCAAACTACTTGCACGGGTTCTATGGTGGATCTTCCCATGGCAAAGAACACGTCGCTGTGCCTCAGTTTCCCCTCTCCCTACGGCCTTTGTGTCCACTTGGGTTTCTGAACAGCCTCTTTCACCACGTGTCCTTATGGAAAACTCTTGGCTCTATCCTGATGGAAACACAGTTTGCAGCAGCCCTGCAAGGTGTTTGTTACCCAGACAGGGCTGATCCCATTGGAAGCAGCACCAAACACTTGCAAGAGCCAGGCCCAGCTTGAACCATCAACCCTAACACTTCAGTGTGCCCATGCACCGGGGTCCCAGCGGGGAAGTCAGGGGGATGCAGAGCAAAGCCTCGGCTGTGGCACAGCGGCACTGATGGAGGAGCTGCAGGAGGAGGTGCCCACACGGAGCTGATTCAGCCCCAGCTCGCACCTTGCTCCTCACAGAAACAAGCTCATTACAAGCCTGCCCCGAGCTATGCTTATCTTGACACGCTGCAAGATAACGAGCAGTTGTCTCAACAGCTTAATGGCAGTGGCTTGGCGCTGGAGCTGCTTCACCCGCACGTTTGCACGGGAGGAGAGGCGCATCTCCAGCCAAGACAACCAGGTCCCAGCTTGGGAACCCAAGTGTGTTTGTCCATCAGCAGAGAGACTGCAGGGCAAGCGCCAGGGAGTGTCTCTGCAGGTCTGGCCCTTCGAGTGTGACTCAGGTGCCCAGAAAAGCCGAGTGAGATGTAAAGGATTTGGAGGTGACTTAAAGGCTGTTGTGATGGAAGCCGGGTGCCTCTGTCTGGGGCTGATTGGTGGTGGCTGCACAGCCCCACACACCTTCCCTCTTTCATGAGCATCTCTCAGGCTCCGGGTGGCAGCTCACCCAATGGGACACTCCTGGATGGAGACCAGACACCCCGTCCTGTCATGGCAAACCCTCCATCAGGTGTGGTCACAACCAGCTCCGATGCAAAGCAACGGGGTCACAAGCACAGCTAAAGGCAGCAGTGACCAGCAGGGCCAAAGGAAGGGGATGGACCCATCCAAGAGCGTTAAGGTGGTCACCTTTCACCAGGACCTGAGGGGTGCTCATCTGCGAGCCTCGGGACCTGGTGCGGTGTGAGCACAGGCAGACCTGGACAGACAGACAGACACCCCATGGCCCTTGTCCTGCCCTGAATGTGGAGCAAGAGCCCTCCATGGGGCAGGACTATGCTTTATTGTGCTCACTACACTGGTGATACTGGAGGGGAAACTGAGGCCCTGGGATGGGATGTTCCGTGGGGTCACTACACAGCTCCAGGACAGAAGCCCCAGCCTAGCGCTGTCCTACAACCTGCCCTCCGACTGTGCAACAACCGCCTGTTCCTTCTGCATCTAGGACCCCCTCTGCATCTAGGACCCCCTCTGCATCCAGGCTCTGCTTTTAGTAGCTCAGCTCCAGCCTTGCACCAGGATATGTCACTGGTGGGGATGGAGGGGCACAGCTCAGTACTCACATATTGGTAGGGCAGTATCACAGCCAGGATGATGCCACCGAAGAAGAGGACCATGAGCATCACGAAGAGCACCCCCTGGTAGGAGGTGAAGTCAAACTGTGGAGGTGAAGAGCAGCACGTTAGAGGTGTAGAGCGCTGAAATGGGGCAGGGAGGGGACCCCCGGGGCCATAGGGAGAGACCTCCAGCAGCAAACCCTTCCTGCTTCACCCACACCTCAGGTCCTACAGCTCAACACCAGCCTGGAGAAGAGAAGCTGCTGGAGACCTCAGAGCAGCTTCCAGGGCCTGAAGGGGGCTACAGGGATGCTGGGGGTGGGACCTTCCTCAGGGACTGGAGCGATAGGACATGGGGTGATGGGTTCACACTGAAACAGGGGAAGTTCAGGTGGGATACAAGGAAGTTCTTCCCTGTGAGAGTGCTGGGACACTGGCATGGGTTGAACAGAGAAGCCGTGGCTGCCCCAACCCTGGCAGTGTTCCAGGCCAGGTTGGACACAGGGGCTTGGGGGGGAGGTGTCCCTGCCCAGGGCAGGGGGTTGGAGCTGGAGGACCTTGAGGTCCCTTCCAACCCAAACCAGGCTGTGATTCTGTGGAGCACAGGCCCAAATCTTTCCATACCCCCTTTACTGCCCCGGAGTATGAGGACTCAGTACTCATCACATGCCTCAACCCCAGCAGCCCATCACACACATTTGTGCCAGTGCCCTTCTGCACCCCACAGCCTGATGCCCCCATTCCAGCCCCCTCTATACCCTGACACGTCCCTCACCCCCATACTCCGCAACCTCCACTTTCCACCCCAGCACCCCTCAGGTTGCTCCTGCACCCACCTCACCCCCGGCACTGCCTGACCCTGTGTGAGCTGCTGATCCCGGGGGGACTGACAGCAGAACCTCACCTTGGTCTGGAAGCTGAAGATCACGACAGACAGACACACCAGGGCAGTGATCCCCAGGCACAGGAGGACCGACTTGGTGTTGTAGTAACTGCCAAATCAAGAGGGACGTGTGGGAAGAGGGGTTACAACAGCAGCTTAGCGGAGATGTGCAAGGAAAATGAGTCCCAGGGGCACACATGGCACTGGAGTTAGCAATTCCCCCTTTCGTGCATAAAGGGAAGAGCAGGGAATACGAGGAAGAGAGAAGCTGGGTTTTCCTCCTGCTTTAAGTAAGGAGGGTGGGCAGGAGGCACGTCTGGAGCTCAGGAGCAGCAGAGGTGGGGACACGTGCTATAAACATCTCCCTGTGCATGGACAGATGGAGAAGGGGAGGATTCAAACGGGGAGGGAATGAAAATAGAATGACAAATGTCACTGCAGCACAATGGGAAAGCTGCAACCACCGTTACGCTACGGATGTGCTTGGGATGGGGCTTTGGGGCTTGGGAAGCTGCAGGAAGGAGGGATTTGAGCAGGAGGAGGCTGTTGGAGTTGGTTTGGGTGCCTGAGCACGGGTTTGGGTGCTCAGCCCTAGGAAAAGCCAGTCCCTCTCTCTCCTCTGGTGTGATTCGGGAGCAGCATCACTGGTGCTTTCCCCCCTCGCTGCTGAAGCTGCTGCTCTCTTTGTCCCAGCACGGATCCATCACCACCCACTGGCTCATCTGCTGCATCACCAGGGCCCCACGTGAGCCAGGGCCGAGCCTGGGAGCGGGTTGTACCAGGGACAACACAGGCACAAGGGAGCAAGAGCACAGAAACCCTGAATGTGCTGGAAAAAGCCTCCGTGTCCCACTGCAGCCCCATGTGCCCGAGCGGGAAAGGTGAGACCACAGGAGAGCCCATCCCTGCAGGACCTGTCTTGTCCCTGGCTCTCCAGTGCTCTCCTGCAGGGTTTAACATAGCCAGAGCTATGTGTGCCTCAGCTGGGACAGGGAAGGGGACGATGCCACCACAGGTCTTGGCTTTCAGAAGCATTTTCAATAGGGAAGCTCAGGCTCTGGAACAGCTCCAGGCATCAGTGGCCCGTCTATTTCACACACAGGGAAGGCTTTTCTGCAGGGCACAGCACCAGAAGCATCCAGAGACCTGTGCTCAACCTACCTGGAGAGCATCCCAGTGAGATAGGCCATGGAGAGCGTCTGGGAGGGGAAAAGAACCACATTACTTCTGCATTCATGGCCCAGGGAGAGACACGCAACAGAGACATTCCAGGTGTGGAGATAAGGGCAGCAAAACCTCACACATGCTCAAGAGAAGCAGTTTTCACATAGTTTCTAATCCTCCAGTGACTGATCTCCATGGGGCAGGTTAAGATGGGGGCAGGCCACCACCCTGAGAGCACCCCCGCCTCCTCCATCCCTCTACCCTGGGGTAAAGCTTGGACCTGATCATCTTAAAGGTCTTTTCCAACTATGATTCTACCCGTCTTGTACAGGACACCAGCACCCTACCCCGCTCCCCACCACTGCCCAGCTGGACATCCCAGTTCAATCACAGCTCCTGAGCCCAAGTGCAGGGCAAGAAGAGGATGAAATTCCTGCTTTCTGCAGGAATCCACACAGATCATCTCTCCCGCTTGGAGCCAGGCCGGGGGCAAGGGCAGGGCAGATGTGGTCCAGATGTGCTACTTACAAAGATGCTCAACAGGATGAGATTCCATGGGAAATACCTCCTGCAAGGGAAGGAACTGCTCAGAGGAACAGGGGTAGCACAACGTAAGAGGTGCCACATAAGGGGCTGTGGCAGGGGTGGTGCGAGGGGACAGTCATCCTGGTGGGGGTCAGAGTGGGTTTGGGGTGCTCCTAGACGAAGAGACCATCACGTCCCTGGGATAAGGGATGTCCCCGTGATAAGGGATGTCCCTGTGTAAGTGCCCTGCTCCATGGAGAGCAAAGCCCATCCTCTGCAGTGGGATTCAGAGGACTCAGTGAGCATTCAGAGTTCCACAGCGATGCATTTTGCTGCGACCTTCCCTTCCAGCTGCAATCTGAGCTCAGCTTTTCATGCTGCGCTGCTGCAACCCACAACTACATCAGGCCTGGAACTACCGCTCCCACCTCAGTCCCTGCAGCACGACTGGGTCAGCTTGACCCTGCATCTCTGACGTTGCGGGGGATGCTTGAAACAAGAGGGAAACTCATCCTTCGTTTTGCAGGGCTGTGTGAAAGCCAAAAGGAAAAGGTTTTACCTGGGTCCGGAGCAGCAAGCGAGGATCAAGTAGGTCACAAAGAAAACAGCACTGCAAAGAGGAGGAAAAGAGGAGTTTAGGGAGGAAAACCCAAGCGTGGAGAGTTGATGCAGGAGAGGAGGGAAGTGTCGGGGCTCTGCTGCGCTGTGTGGAATGCAAACACCGTGTCAGACGTTGGGTGGGAATCAAAGCAGTTGCTCCCTGTCACTGCAGCTGCTTCTGCATCATTGCTTGTGCCAGTCTCAAGGTGGGACCAGCACAAACACCCCTGAATGGGTTTAGGGCATTCAGGTCCTGGGGAGATGGGGCACCTGAAGCGTTTGCTGCTGACGCCTCATCAGTGCAGGAATGGAGATGGGCAGATTTTGCTCCATTTCAGGCACTTCCAGGTGTGGTGGCATCAAGGCTGGAT